TAAATTTCGACAAACTTTAATAATGTTTTTTAAAATAATAAGCCCACCAGTGGCACAGCGGTATGTCTGCGGACTTACAACACTAGAAACCGGGTTTTGATACCCGTGGTGGGCAGACAAATACAATAATTATTTATTTATTTTATGGAGATAATGTTTTAAAGTGCTATAGAAGTTGGGTACAATCTATTTAGCATACTTAAGCGAACATGACAGTCAGAGACGATTACGTAATAGTTCCACGAAGTGGAACCAGAGAGCGCTAGCTCTATGGAATGATATCACCAGAAAGGGTACATTGCTAGGAGCGCTATGTTACGCCGCCTTGACAGGCGGACATGACGTCAGAGATATTGGCATTCATGAAGTGGATCAACCTGTCACAATATGGTAGAATTAATACAGTTGGTATAAAACACTGATTCAATAGTTCTATATTTAATTACATTTCCTGACCATTTATATGTAAATCGTCCTGAAAGGACGCTTATTTAAGTATCATGCACTGATTTAAAACTTAATGTTTCACTAGTTTGTCTTTATGCTATCAATATAACTCCACAAAATATTTCGTTCGAACACATATTACTGTGTAGTTTTATCTTTCACGAGTTTTACAAGGGTGGATGTTGTTACTATACTTCTATATATGATTACATCATCAATGTCTAAATTTAATTATGTTAAAACCAATATTTTAACGAAAATCTTACTATCAGTGGGATTTTTAACAAATCTGCTATTATCCATTACTTGAATGAGGTCACAACTTATATTTTTGTTTTCATTTATATATTTATTTGTATTACGTATTTTATAAAGGTGGGCAATGTTACTGAGCATTGTATACAGATTTCAACGTACATTTTACAAAGGTGTTTCTACACTTCCGTAGGATGCAGGTTTCAACATGTCTCATCTTATTTTTCACTTACTTGTGTTTCTATATAACGATAATGTTACTAACACAATATACTTACTGCTGGAAAGTTTTTACCATGTCTAAGGTTTCTATAATTATTGAACAAGACAGCTGATTGGATTTGTATGATTTAGTACACATTTAACATATACTGATTATAGATTCTATATTTAAACATTCTTTTTACAATTATTGTCCTGAACAGGACACGAAAATTCGTATTTCAATGAGACAACTATTATAACATGCATATAGTTTAAATGAAGTAGTAAATCACTTGTCGTCCTGAAAATGGACGCTTATTTAAATATCATGCAATAATTTAAAACTTACACTTTCACCATTATGTCATTCGCCTAGTAATTCATTTTATTACAACTAAAAATAATAAGTGAATGACTTACTGTTTATCCATCCATTTCTATTAAAAGTTCATTAAACATTGAAACAGTCTAATGTTAAGACACTGTTATGAAATATCACATATACATACAATCTGGACACTGACATCAAGCTAGCTAAACTTTGACTGTTAGGAATTACAACGGCCGTCACGCTCACACCCACACAGACAGTGTTTTTATAAATGGAGGATGATGAGCTCATTGTCTTAAAACGTCATTAATGGCTATGTTACGTCTCCGTGTGTTAATTAATTTTCCGTAACTTCGTACCGACGAAACTTACGCGACACAAGCCTTTACTTAAT